TACGAGAAGAAAAAAATAAGACGAAACAAATAACACAACAACAACAATACACGACAAAACCCATCCCCTAAGGTTGCCGCACAACACGCCGCGAGACCCATTCAAAGAGCCTTTTGCTCATTATTCCCCCGACACCGGGTCCGTCTCCCTGACCTTTCCAAACCGCTACCCCGATGCAGCCTCGTCGGTACTCCCGCCAGTTCATTAGTCGTTATCGTGGGAACGAACTGGAAGGTGAACTTAGAACGCGGGTATCGGACATATTCAAGATCGACCCCCGCCTCCCGTTATGATCAATATCGGCTCGACGCGCAAGATGCACATGTGCAACAAAACTTGCCCGGGATGCAGCATACCGCCGGGACCACCGATGCCACGCATGGGCGCAGCGAGGCCCATGGGCACACCAAGAGGAGCGGCAGGAAGGCCACGGCCCGCAGCGCGCGCCACGCCCGGGCCCATGATGCCAAGACCCTCCGCTTCGTGGGCAGGCGGCGGCGACTCGACCGTGAGCGACACGACGTTTTCGCCGCGCAGGAGGACGAGGCCAAGCATGCGCTTCTGGACGCGCTCTTCCTTGAGGGACGCGGACGTCGCGTTCTTGACCTTGTTCTTGAGGGTCCGGAACTCCTCGCAGTCGCCAAGGACGAGGTTCATGTGTTTGTCAAAGGCCATGAAGGTCCCGATGAGCACGCGGCCGTCCGCGAGCGTGACCTTCATGCGGTAGTTGATGTAGTTGAGCATCTTACTGCTCTTGTTCATCACCTAGACAGCGCATGAGCTTCTTCGCCGTCGAAGCATGCATGACGCGTACCATGGTCGAAGGAGGCGTCGCAAGGACCCGTGAATACTACTCGCCACCGATTTGGTTTGTACGGTGTGGAAGGAGGCCGGTTGCCATTGGCCAAAATGCGTGGCTTTTCAAAAGATCTCGGCCCGCCGATTGGCGCAGCGACACGACAGCGGATTGGTCCAAAAGCCAAAGATTTCGTGCGCAACGTCGAGCTGCATCCTTGCCGTGGTTGCTCGCGGCGATATGAACTGGTGCTGAGATGGCGTCGATTGCGGGAAGACGTGGGAAAGCGACGACGCATCTGCAAAGCGAACAGCCCAAGAGAACGCGTGCACATGTAGTATTATATTACATGCATGAGCCACATGGCACAATGACCAAGGAGTTCTCTACCGCAGCGACTGCATTGCCGGTTTAAGACACCCGTAGTGCAAACGTAATAAAAACGATTTCACCTCTATTCACTGCACCTTCATCTCTTTGTGCTCGTCGTCTTTGGGCATGGCCCTGCATTCTTGCAGCGCCAGAATGCACTGCCCGAGGAACTGCGGCGTCGCCGAAGCAGGTGGTGTTCGATTCGGATCTTTCAAAATACGACGCTCTGATTGGTCCATGGCGGACAGCAAACTCAGATTGCCAGTTCGCGCGGGTGCTTGAAATCGGTTTTTCGGACCGAATCTCACACACATACTAGGGATTTGTATAAGTCCTAATTAGGAATCCGCCCCGTGCCGAGTGACAGATATAAATACACTTCCCAAGCATGACACCCCACGGGCTCGAAGACGCGTCCGTGGCAGGCCTCGTTGGCACCGGCGTCCTCTTCGGCGTCATCCACGTCATGACGGGGCCCGACCACCTTAGCGCGCTCGCGACGCTGAGCGCAGGCTCCTCCTGGCGGTCCTTCGCCCTGGGCATGCGCTGGGGCATGGGCCACTCGATCGGGCTCATCCTCATGGCCGTCTTCTTCATCCTCCTCGATGGAAAGCTCAACTTGGACAAGCTCACGATCGTGACGGACGTCATTGTCGGCGTCTTCATGGTCGCATTGGGCGGCTATGGGCTCTACAGCGGGCACAAAAAGTACCTCGCGACGCTCGCCGAGCTCGACACGACCAACACGACGCCGGCCAAGACGCGGTCGTACGAAAAGTGCCCCGACGTCGACTCGTCGAGCGACTCGGAGGCCGATCTCAAGGAGATCCACTTGGCGCCGATCGGGACAACGTCCGAAGACGAAGCCACAATCACATCCAGCACGGGGTCGCCGACCGTGCCCGACATTGACGACGAGATGGAAGAGCTCGACTTGGACGAGATCGAAGGCGCGCTCGAGGCGCAACTCGAAGAGCAGAGCGCGCTCGTGCACAGTCCGGCGCCGGTCTGCGGCCGCCGGTCGTGCCTCCCCACCATCAACATGGACAACCCCGCGACGCAAAAGGTAGTCTTCGCCCTCGTCTCTCAACGTCGTGACGCACACTTTTCTGCAGGTGACCGCGCTCTGCGTCGGCATCGTCCACGGCATCGCAGGCCCGGGCGGCATCCTCGGCGTCCTGCCCGCGGTCGGCCTCCACAATTGGACCAAGTCGATCGCGTACCTCGGGTCGTTTTGTGTCACTTCGATCCTCATCATGGGCCTCTTTGCCGCCTTTTACGGTGAAGCCACGGCGCAACTCGGGTACAATGTCTCTGCCTTCGTCGTTTTTTCTCATGCAATTGTAAATGTAGTCGGCGGTCGGCCCGGATCGCGTATGGTATTGCGGTGTTTTCGTCCATGCTCTCGGTGCTCGTGGGCATCCTCTGGATCGTCCTCGTCGCGACCGGCAAGCTCCAGGACGTTTTTGGCGCCTGATTTGTAGACAGATTGATGTGTTCGTATCCTAATATTATCTCGAGGTCTGTGTCTCCAACGGTGTCGACATGCCCCAACTCGAGTGCACCGAAAAGCCCCGTCGGTGAGGATACCAAGAGCAACGCACAGGGAAAGCACAGACAGAGAACGATGACACCGTATTGAAAATTAGTAAGCGTCCTCATGTCGATGGGCCCCTAAGCACCGCCAACTGCATGCGCCTGCATGGTGGACGTACTACGCAAGGTAGTACAACGGATGCGCGCGCAAGGTCGTCTTGCATTGTCCCGTGGCTGTCTGCGCTGCGGATCGCGTCTGCCTCGTACAGCGTCACGCTCGGGCCAGGTATATTCAGCTGGTTGCTCGCGTATCGTCGTGCAATAGAATCGCACGCATCGCAGCGTGTTCGTCCCGGAGCAGCGCTTGCATGTGCAGCTTGACGCTGGCGTGGAGAGGCCCCGTGCCGCAGTTCCGAGCGTCCGTGATCGCAACTTGGTCACCAACGCGTGCATGAGGGCGAGTACGGGCATGGCGTTCGTCTCGCGATCAAGCGGAAAGACGCGACGCATCAGTGTCAGTTGAAGTTGCGCGCACGTCGCTCTGTGCGTGTGGCGCGCAGTGGCTTCAATCTGCCCGTGAGGCGCGGGCGACGCATGGAATGCCAGCCTTGGATCCCAGCCGCCATCATTCGGAAATGGCCCCGTGTGAGAACACTCGGCACGCGTATTTCGCTGCGGAAACCAAGGAAAAGCTCATGCACCCCTAGCGCGTGGTGCTCTCGCCGATGAAAGATGTCGCCGACAAGTCGCAGGACATCAGCGAGTGTACATGTGTAGTAGCAGCGACCAGTTCACGTCATCGCCTAGGCGGCAATGAAGCGACGTAGTGCTGTTTCTTGCGCTTCTTGGACAACTGCCGCGGCTCGTAGCTGGTCAACCCCTGCATAACTGGCGGGAGCAGTGACATCGTCAACGCCATACCTCCAGTCCACGCAGAGATAGCCTCAGGTCGGCTTGCCTCTTGACGAGTGCGTCTACTCACGGGCCACTGCATTGCATTACGTGCTAGCGTGGAGTGGACTAGAGAGACAAGTTGTGCATCAACAGCTCGATAAATTAGAGTTACAGAGTGGGTCGCCACCTACGCAACTGCAGCCAAACTAGCTTTCCCATTCTGCCTCTCTACTCTACAAGTCGTCAATGGCGGGGGTCGACACCTACGCACCGTAGCGCTCGTCCGTGCGCTCTCCCCCGTCAATCCTTGAATCTTGTCAAGATTTACTTCTTGGCAATGACCTTCGAGAGGAAGTCGGCGTGCTCCTGGTAGGGGGTCTTGCCGAACTTGTTCTCGGCCCAGAGGTCGGGCGTCAAGTACGAGTACGTGTTGCGGAGAGCGTAGTACGTGGCCTTGACGAAGTTGCCGAGGGTGCGGGTGTGGCCGCGCGCCGACGTGTAGCAATCTTCGATACCAGCCATGCCGAGGAGCTTCTTCGGGGCCGGGGCCGCGCACAAGCCCGTACCACGGGGGGCCGGAATGAGGCGGACGCGGACCGAACCGCACTTGCCCGTGACCTTGTTGCAGACCGTGTGCGGGAGACCCGACATGTTGCCCCAGTAGCCGCGGCGGACCGGGACGAGCGACATCTTGGCCTGGACAATGGCGCCGCGGATGGCGGTCGCGACTTCCTTGGCGCACTTGACGCCAAGGCCGATGTGGCCGGCGTGGTCACCGACGGCGACGAAGGCCTTGAAGCGCGTGCGCTGGCCGGCCGTCGTCTGCTTCTGGACGGGCATGATCTTCATGACTTCGTCCTTGAGGCGGTCCTTGAGGAAGTAGTCGACAATCTCCGACTCCTTGACCGTGAGCGAGTAGAGGAAGATCTGCTCGAGCGACTCGATCTTGCCCTCCTTAACGAGGCGGCCGAGCTTGGTCACGGGGGTCCAGCCCTCCTTGCCTTCGTCACGGCGACCGCGGCCACGGCCACGGGGACCACCGCGGCCACGGGGACCACCGCGACCACGGCCAAAACCACCACGTTGTTGGGGAGCAGCGTCAGCCATTTTCTTTTTACTTGATTCGGACGAAAAAATTCAAAGTGATTTCGAGACCCGCGACCGATTATTTCCGCCAGGTAGTTTGCACCAGCCAATTTCGAGTCGACTTTCCGCCAATCAGCACCCACACCTCGTTAGAAGACCCGATCCTACGGATACGACAATTGTATCCGGAGATCACCACAACCTATTGTGCCTTGGGCGGATGCACGAGGCTTGGCGGCCGTGTACTAGTTGCCAAGATGCATGAATCACGTGCTACCCGTAATGGAATTATTTTGGGCTAGTGGACTTCATTTTACCACGAAAATACCTTTTTTCTTGTCGAAGGTTGCACGGGTTGAAGTGGCTCGTCGCTCGTCCTCGGTCTTGGATGGCTGCTTGTGTTGAGTTGTTGTCTAGAGCCCGCATCATCTTAGCTTGTAGCACTGGATGGATATGAGCTTCGGACTCATCAAGGCGGCGGAGGTGCCATGCTCGAGGTCATATCCTCACGCATGTATTGCGTTTGGCGCCAATTTCCCAGGATGATGGCATAGTATGGACCAGTTTGCCGTTGCTACAATAAGAGAGTTCTCTCCTTGCTACAAGGCGAGTCGTCGTAGGGCTTGAAGGTTTCTCGGTGAATACACATTGCAGTGCAATGTGTGTGGACGTCGAAGCTTCGCCATGCTGCAGCGAGTACTGTAGGGCTAGGCGGAGGTGATGAATGATAGCCGTTGTGGCGGGTTGTAAAGCTTGTCCTCTCGACCATTCGAATGGTTCTAGCATGATCTCTCTACGACGAGTACGACGATACACAGCCTCCATGGACGCCAGCGACCCCGACGAGGAAGGAGCATGGTCAATGCGAGCAAAAGTTGCTGAATTTTGGATCCGAGTGTTGTGGGTTTGTATTTTTATCTTGGATTTTGTATGGAGCAGCTGGCGGCCACTTTTTATTGTTCGACTTGCCAGCCGCTGGAGACGATGGAATCCGACGGGCCGCCAAGCAGCCTCCGCGGGCCCTCGGACTCGACGACGTCGACGAAGCGGTCACAGAGCCGCGACTCCAAGGCCAGCCACTCGTCGAGCTCTCGGCGCATGAGCTTCTTCGGCCGCCCCGGCGAGGTCGACGTGCTGCATGACGCGGAGGTGTGCCAATCTTTTGAGCTCACCGTCATGGAGGAAGAGAGCAGCCGCGGCAACATCACGTCGCTGCGGTCGGTCCTCGCCGAGGGCTTCAACCTGCGCGGCCTCACGCGGTCGGGCCTCGTCGTCGCCATGTACGGCTTTCTCGTGACGCTGGCCACCTTCATCGTCGCCTTCTCGGTCGTGTCATTTGAAGGGTACATCGATCCGCTCCATACATTCCATGGCTCATTTAGCGCTAGGCACGAGATCAACCCGGGCCTCGTCATGGGCGCAGCGCAAACGTTCCTCACCAACAGCGTCGTGATCATCACGTTCCACGGCGTGCACTCGTTCCAGCGCCACCCGAACCCGCTCCTGTACTACCGCGCGGTCATGGACTTGCTCCTCTCGCTGCGCTTCCTCCTCGACCCGCTGTGGATCTACTGGGACTTTTACGACGTCTCGCTGCCGCAGTCGTGCCAGTACCTCTCGGGCGTGACGGAATTTCTCTTCATCGCGGCCGACGCATGGTTCTTCATGCTCGCGCTCGACCTCATGCTCTCGCTCAACAACCCGTTTGGAAGCGTCAAGCACAACCGTCGTCGGTACATCATCGGCGTCTACTCGTTCGCCATCGTGCTCTCGGTATCCTCGCATCTCGCACCATCGGACGTTGGCTCATCCATCGATAGTGCTTCATGTCGTTCTTCCCCGAGCGCCTCTATGGCATCGCCGAGGGCAAGTTTTGCTGGACCCGCGCCAAGCGGTAGGTGCATCTATCCTCTTCCGTGCCATTTGTCGTCATGCCCATGGACTAGCTTCGAAACGGGCTATGACCCTGCGACCAACTCGTTCTTCCAGTTCAACCTCTCGACGTGGTCGTCCTTCTTCATTTGGATGGTCATCTTCTATCTCTTCGCCTTCTACGTGCTCTTCATGGGTCTCAAGCGGCTGCGCCACGGCATCTCCAAGACCATGGAAACGCGCAAGGGTAGAGAGCGAGTGTCCTCACGACACGACTCTGATGCATAGGCTAGGCATGCTCCGCGACGGCGCGCTTAGTATCATTAGCTGGGCCGTCTACTGGACGATTACCTTTACGGTCTACGCCGTCTCGTTCAGTGCGAACGCGCCGGTGAAGGACCTCCGCCCGTCGTCGCTCTTCAAGCTCTACTGCTACGTCGTCGCGGGCCGTGGCATCGTCACGTACGTCTTTGGAACAATGTCGCGCATGCCAGCATGCAATTAGGTATTTTCTGTGGTTTATGATCAACCCCGCCGAGAAGATCGTGCCAACCTGGCTCCAGTTCTCGCAGGCGTCGATCGACATCAACGTGAGCGCGCAGCTCAACACGTCGCTCCAGCAAGACTTGCTCGAGTACACGGTCAAGGGCATGACCCGTGCGATCGAAGAGGCCGACCTCGAGCACAAGTTGCCGTCGCGGCGCCCGACGGCGCAGGGCAGCACCGACGACCCGTCCACGGACCTCCGGCTCACGATCGTGGCCAACGCGGTCCAAGCTTCGACGACGACGAAGAACCACATTCAGTCGCCGGACGAGCGCAAGGCGCGCCGCCAGACCTTGTCGCATGTCAAGTTTACGTCGTACCGCCCGGTACAACGACCGTTGAGCATCGCATGATGGCTCACGAGTCGATACTAGAGTACTTTTGCGGCGCTTCGTGGGCACTTTGACGTCACGACCGAAGACTTTGTCAAGTCGTTCGAGGAAGCGACCAAGCCAAGCATCAGCGAGGGTGCGAGCGGCGCGTTCCTCTTCTTTAGCAAGGACATGCGGTTCATTGTCAAGAGCATGGTCAAAGCCGAGGCGCGGTTCCTCATCAAAATTGCGCCCGAGTACGTCGAGTACCTCAAGTCGGAGGAGAAGAGCGTGCTGACGCGCTTCTATGGCTGCTTTCGGATCACTTTGTACGGCAACGACTTTTACTTTGTCGTGATGGAAAACCTCTTTGCGTCTTCGGGCCAAGAGATCCACCATCGCTACGATATCAAGGGCAGCTGGGTCAATCGCAGCTACCAAAACCCGCGCGAAGGCACCAAGGTCAAGTGCCGCTACAGTTTTACTACACGTCGATCGTCGCCAAGAAGCAGGTACGACACGCTTCCATTGGATTCTCCAAACCGCTTCTGCACATCTTACATAGTCGTGTCCCAACATGGCCGGCCCGCATGAGCCCAACGTCGTGCTCAAGGACGACGATCTGCGCACGCGCCTTCGCATTGGCCGCGCGCCAGGTACCATCCATCTCTCTCCAACCGCAACGACGGCGTTCGACTTTCAACCAACCTAATGCTGTAGGCCGAGTGCTCTTTCGTCAGCTCCAAGCCGACTCGCTATTTTTGTGCTCGCTTGGCATCATGGACTACTCGCTCTTGATCGGCGTCGTCGACGTCGAGTACAAGGTGGACGTGGCCGCGTCGTCCACCGGCAACGGTACATATATCGCCCTGATACATTGATAATCTGAGCTTGTGGATGTAGACAGCAGCTCGTCGCTGCACGTGTGTGACACGATCACGGGTCCTGGGTACTACTGCCTTGGCATCATCGACATCTTGCAGACGTGGAACTTTGACAAGAAGCTCGAGCGCTTCATGAAGACCTGGGTACCGAGACATGTTTCTATACCGACGTATGAACGCTTTGATGGCTGTAGCTCAAGCGCAGCGACCCCGCGGGCATCTCGGCGATCGAGCCGGACACGTACCAGCGCCGGTTTGAGCAAAAGTGCCGCCAGATCATCATGTTTGCCGACACGGACGTCGATGACGACGACGACGTGGTCGCGAGCCACCACCCGCGCGACGCGCAGAACGCGTACCAGGTCATGGCACTCTTCGCGAGCAACCAAGCGCTCAAGCCGATCCCGATGATGGGCAGCTCCCCGATGCTCTTCAAAACAAAGTCCGAGTCGCGTCAAGTCGACGTCAACATGACGCCGCACCACACGGACGAGCCCGTGTGGCTCTAGGACCCCACACAACAATACATATGATTGCCTGCAAAAGACGCAGCGGATGCGACAACCAAGCACGCATCCAAACGGATCAAGAACATGGTAGCATTTGCCGAGCAACTAGGACGATGGCGGGTGCATGAGCACACTCTTGAGCACTTCGACCGACTGGCAGATCTCGTGGTACAAGCTCATATTGGCCTGCGACCGCGGCATGATGTGCTCCAAGTTGCGGTCGAGTAGCTTGTGGAGCACGACGGGCGCAAGCTGGCGGTCGTCCTTCTAGCAAACGACGTGTCTTCGCTTCCAGTAGCGTGTCAACGCGACGTACACTGTTGGCTGCGCATTGGAGCGTTAGGACGAGGTCCATGCAGCCCATGAGCACGTCATTGGTCTTGGACGAGATGGACATCGCACGATCGTCTTTCGCGAGCCGCTGGATGGACGTCGCGACGAGCGACCGCGATTTTTCGTGGGCGGCCGTGAGGAACTGGTGCGCCCACCCAATCTGCTGCGGGTTCAAGCTCGACTCGAGCCCGTGCGGCTCCATCAGGAGCGATTCCTACCACACAACCGGATTACGTATCCATCTCGTACATGCTTGGCGAGACGACGCACCGCCGGTGTGTGCTGGACCGACTGGAGCCGATGCAGCGCCGCCGCGAGCACATCGTTGGTCGTGTCGAGGTTGACAATCACCCATGCGTACTGCGATTGAAAGTGGACGAGGCCCGCGTACGTGGTCGACGGGTCGGCGAGGAGCACGAGCGCGCGGTCGTTCATGCGCGCGAGGGCGCTGAGGAGCATTCCTTTCGCTGCAAGAGCGTTGTGACCGCGCGCATCGCAGCAAAAGTCCGCTTCGTCACGCTTGCGTCCGAGAGGAACGGCGGCCGATCGATGCCTTCTTCGGGCTTGGGATACACGCGCACTGTCGTGTGGACGGCCGGCGCGACCGTGACCTTGAGCGGCTGCTGCTGCCAGTACAAGAGCGACGGCTGCGGACTCTCGACGAGCTACGTCGTTGCGTTCAGTGCACGCCTGTCTTTATATCTTGGTCTTCGTACCATGACCGAAGTGTCGGGGCAGTTGAGGATCTCCTTGTGGTCGGCGTACGTCACAATGACCTCGTACGAGTGGTCCATCGTCGAGACAGAGCAGACGCGACCGACGCAGAGCCGCTGCGTGAGCTTGTTCGGGTGCAGCACTACAGGCACAAGATCGTTGGCACCACGAGAAGGAGGAAGGGCGCACCTCGCACTTGGGTGCCAATGGCGAGCGGGTGGTAGATCTTGTATGGGAATCGAATGTCGGTCGGAAACTCCTACGCGCATTCGTCGTCCGATCCCGCAGACAGGCATGCCTACCTTGGTCCGCTGCGCATAGCGGACGACGTTGCGGTACCGGTACAGCTTTTGCCGTTCTTCGTTGAGAAACGTGGCGCTAAAGCGGCGCGGATGCCCCATCGAGAGGCGGATCGCCGACCACTCGGTGCGCTTGGCCCGCTGGACATGCGCCATGTTCATTTGGCTAAGACAGTCTTGGAACTCGCTGTGCTCGAAGAACGCCTCGTCGATCGCAGCGACAAAGAGCTTGCGCTCGCTCGAGCGAAGGCTCCGGCGCTTGAGCGGTTTTCGCGGCTGCGTGCGCTTGGTGGCTTGCGCCGTCACCTTCATCGCAGCCTCGCGCTCCCACTCGACCTGCGCGTTGTAATGGTCGGTCAGGATCGCGTAGAGGCCTTCGTCGGTTGCCATGGGCAGCGAGAGGAACCTACGCGACGTTGCTTGCGAGCGATCCATCCCGATGCGTACCCTTTGTGCATGGCGACGAGGGCTCGGACCATGTCGGGCGTCCGCGCCGGCAGCTCGCTCGCGATGGCAGCGATGGCCTCGTCGGGCTTGGTCTTCATGAGCTCCATGTTTGCGCGGAAGAGGTGGAAGAAGGCGCGGACGTCGTCATGCGTCCAGCGCGGCCCCAAGCGGTCGGTCCAGCCCATCGTCCGGTATACGGCTTGGAGGAACCTCTCACGCTTTATACTTTGCCGCGTCTCTGATTTGCAAGGTTTGAAATTTCAAAAAAAGATATTGGATATTTTAATAATAAAATTCAATTCAATGCCGGAGCTGCCCAAACGCCACGCCTATCGTCGTACTTGCATCACGGAGCGCTGAAGCGACGTCCTTGGTATAGCTCCTAGTATGCTTACTTGTCTCCAAGGTACGGATCACATTGTAGTCAACTAATACCTACTAAAGGCCATGTTTTCGGTGGAATTTCCGATATCGGGACTTCACGAAAAGAGCGTTTCCACCAGTAAACAGACCAAGCCTCAAGAGCAATGAAAAAGGGCGTCCTATACATCCTATGGAAGCTACAAGAATATACTTGGTGGCTTGCAGAGCGCAAGCGAAGCTGTCGCGGGCAAGGACTCGGAAACCCCGCGATTTCGGCACCGATCCGGCAACTGGGATTCCGAAGCGTCTGGTTTAAAACGTGATACGTTAAACATCTTTAACGCGGCGTTTTAGTACAACGCCTCGGTTTGCGCAATTAACGTGTCTATCGCCAAAGAGACAAAGAAAGCGGGTTCCTGAACAAGTGGCAGGTGGATAATTCCCAAACGACAAGAAGATCAAGATGGACCGCCCGACGGACGCGAACGAACGATGGTAGGGTGGATGGGCATGGCGGCGACGATATGAACCATGTGGCGTAGGCTGCGTGGGCACGCAGAGCGATCAAGCCGGCAAGGCCAGCGGCTGCGCAGGCTGCCCGAATCAGAACCTCTGCGCGAGCGGCGCGACCAAGCTCCCGGACCCGACGATGGTCCAGGTCAAGAACCACCTGAAGGACATCAAGCACATCATCTTGGTGCTGAGCGGGAAGGGCGGCGTCGGCAAGTCGACCGTGAGTTGCCAGCTCGCGTTTGGCCTCGCCGGCATGGGGCACCAGGTCGGGCTCCTCGACGTGGACATTACGGGCCCGAGCGTGCCCCGCATGCTGGGCCTGAGCGGCCAAGAAGTGCACCAGAGCAACGACGGCTGGTCGCCCGTGTACGTCGATGACAACCTCGGTGTCATGTCGATTGGCTTTATGCTGCCCAACCAAGACGACGCGATCATTTGGCGCGGCCCGAAGAAGAGCGGCCTCATCAAGCAGTTTCTGACCGACGTGACGTGGGGCGAGCTCGACTACCTCATCATCGACACGCCGCCGGGCACGTCGGACGAGCACATTAGCATTGTCCAGGTACCCTTTGTCCGCATGGCACCAGCATCGTCACGTGGCCTGGCACGATTAGTACATGAAGGAGACCAAGATTGACGGCGCGGTGGTTGTCACGACGCCGCAAGAGGTGGCGATGGCCGACGTCCGCAAAGAGCTCAACTTTTGCCGCAAGACCAACCTCCCCGTCCTCGGGTACGTGGTCCGTCATGGAATCGTGCTCAGCCTTCTTCTCGGCGTCCTGTAGGGTCGTCGAGAACATGGCGGGGATCCAGCAGTCGCTCGACCAAGTCAAGTTTATCAACCCCGCGACGTCGTCGGACGACACGGCTCACTTTCTCCAGGTGCTCAAATGCGTGGTTGCGGTCCAGTACCCATCACGATGGCGATTGGTTAGGTGCTGCGCGAGAAGGCCCCCGAGCTTCTCCCGTACGCTGTCCAGCTCCAAGTGTTTCCGCCGGCGGCGGGCGGCGGCGAAGCCATGGCGAGTGCATTTAACGTGCCGTTCCTCGGTCGCCTGCCGTTGGACGCCAACCTCACGCAAGCGTGCGAGCAAGGCGTGAGCTTCCTCGAAGCCTACCCCAAGTCGAGTGCTGCGACGGCGTTCGATGCCATCGTCAAGCGCGTCATCGCCGAAGCCGACAAGCGTGCATAAGTTGACAACACGACATTCTTGGATGATGGACCTGCCTTGTCCATGTCGCGTGTACTTGTGGAGTGGGCGCCCACTGCTCGCTGTCACAACGCGCTTTTTGAAGCACCTTGAGCAAGCTCGCGTTGCAAACATCATTCGTACGAGGAAGCAACGGCAGTCCAGGAGGAATCGCCAAGCCAATTCGCGTGTCCATGCAGAGCGTGGGATCACATGCAGCTGCGTCGTTCTCGACCGCCAGCGTCCCATGCTGCGACGGCGCCGGGAGGTCGCCCACCTGCGAGATTTTGTACAATCGGTACTTCAGTTCCTTCGCGTTCTTTTTGAGTTGCGTCGAAAGCACATACTCGACGCCGACGTTGTGGGACCACCAGTTGCCCGCGACTTCGAGCCCACTCCACGTTTGCGAGTTGCCGATCTCAGCCGCCAGCGTCACCCAGTCCGTGAACCCACGCAACACGCGCGATGGACCTTCATCGAGTGTCGGTGGTGGGCCTCTGTTGAGCGTAGGGAGCCTTGAACCAAAGGTAGCGTCGGCCTGCTTCGTCTTGATACCGCGGCCTCGTGAAGCCGTGAACGAGCCACGCGGGGCCACCTCACCGCCATCGCCTGAAGCCTGGAGGAACGCGCTCTCGAATCTGTCGATGAACGCCTCGTGCGCCTTCGATGGAAAGTCCATATTGATGCCGCCGTCGACGAGGTCGACAAAGCGCAAGCGAAAGGGAGCTTCCTCGTCATCCTCAAAGTTGGCGTTGAAGAGGTCGACTGAAACCCCAGAAATGACGACGAATTGTGGAATGTCACCAAGTGGTGTTCGAGATGCTCGAGGCAGATGGCCTCGACGGCCACTGTGATGGACTCGAGCGTGGTGACGGGAGCGGAGAGAGCGGTGTTGTGCATCGTCAAATGATACCTCCACACACTCGCAATTTGGCGCCATGGGGGCGCAAGATAGAAACGGAGCAACGTCGCTGTCCATGACGAACAACCTGGCCTGCCTGGAATTGGAAAACGGGGCGCGCATCTCAAAAGAAACGAGACCGTTCACTTCAATTCGGATCAAAGCCACACGTGACAACAGTGAAGAAGCACGGTCCGGCGTTGCTCATTGTCCGAGCTGGAGGTTGTTATCTGTGGGTCGCCATTGTACGTACAATGACTTCCCCGTGCCACACTCGAGTCCATCATGGCGGCCGATGACGCCGTCTCCTTCGAGCAGCTACGACACCACTGGACGACCTCTAGCGAACCGTCGTCGTTATATCTGGCGTCTCGGTCGAGGGCTTCAACGCCTACTTGAACTACTTGATGGATTACGAAACCATACTCTTTCGCTTGCGCTTTGATACACTTCACCAAAGTCCGCTGGCAACGCTTCGCCCTGCACGGATACTACGAAGAGTGAGCGACGCTGGCGGCTACTCTCAGACATGAAATCGGCTTTGGGTCGGACAACTGGTGGTCACGTGTAGTTGGTCCTATGATAGACTAGTGCTATATCAAGGGTTGAAGCGAGTCGCTCTGCTCCACGAATGGCTGCAACAAGGAAGTCCACTCGAACGTAGGCATGGAAGGGCACTGTGCGACTCGCGCCAAACTCGGCGCCAAGTTGATCCACAGCACGTGTTTAGTATTTGGCGACGCTTTCCCACAGAGAGCGTCTCGATGGTCGCGTTCAAGTCCATCTGTAGTTAGTCTATTATGATGTTCGACTAACTACGAAACGCTTCGTTTCACGCGCTTCATTTCAGTGCGATTGAGGCGACATCGACATATATGTCGGGGAAGCCCCCGCCGCTCTCGGACGAGGCCAAGGCGTCGCTCAAATCCTTTGCGCGGTCGTCGAGTACGCTGGATTCGTCGGCGATAGCATTGGCCGTCGCCCAGCGCTCGTCATCGATGACGTCTCTTGCGCCAAGCGAGGTTCCAACTACGTCGTCGTCTTCGGAAGGGAGTGGGGACGCCCGCATCGAAGAGAAGGACCGCGTCATCGTGCTCTTGAACGAGACGGCGAAAGCGTTCCAGATTGAAGTTGGCGCGCTCACACAAGAGGTGGCTCGGCTCACGTCGCAGCTGGACCAGCGCGACTTGACGATCCAAGGGCTTGAGCGAGAGCTGCGAGACAATGCGTCCTCCACGTCGGACCAGGTCATTCTGTTATGAGAGCAAGACTCTTCTGTACTATGCCACTGCAGGTCAAAGCCTCGAGTGCGTTTCGCGCGCAGCTCCTTTTGCAGCAGTCGATTGTCGACGAGCTCAAGGCGCAACTGGCCACGTCCGAAGTCGACTTTGAGAGTCTGCGGACCGCGCTCGAGGCCAAAGACGCGGTAGAATGCAATTCATTGCACTCTTGCTTGAATATCGTACGGCGTTGTAGGCGTGTGCACAGCATCTCGCGGCCGTCGCCGAGGCCAAGACGCAGCACACAAGTCTGCAGACTGAGATCGACCGTCTCCACGTCCTCTTGCGTCGGTATGAAAAAGCGCAGGCTGATCGCGAGGCCCAGAAGCCTCTATTTGCCGACGCGTGCTTGTCGGCACGGGACTTCTCCGAGAACCAGCTCATTTCGCTGCGCGACGACGCGATCTCGGCCAAAGCAAAGGAGCTCGCGCTGGTGACGGCCGCCAACGACGCTTTACGGGCGCAGCTGGATGCCGTCGAAGCCGAGGTCGACCAACTGCAGACCACGCTCAGCGCGAAGGAAATGGAGTTTTACCGCAGCACACGCAAGATTGAAAAGCTCGAGCGCCACGTCGCGTCACTCGAGGCGAATGCCAAGCAGGCCCAAGGCCGTGAGTTTGCGATCGAGCTCAGCACCAAACAAAACACCCAGCTGCTACAGTGTCTGCAAGCCCAAGAGGCCAAAGTACGATCCAACAAATGCTTGTGTGGCGTTTGAGCAGCGAGCATAGACGGAAGCGCTGCAAGCCGAGGTCGCGGCGTTAACACTCGACCTCCAGCACGCAAAGGAAGCCTCGTCGTCGCTCAAGACCGCGTCGGTGGCCGTACGAGCCGTGCTAAAATCGAGGTCGAGGATGTTAGCTTGTTCATGCTAGGTCGAAATCGAGTACCAGCTCAAGAGCAAGTCGGTGGAGCGGCAGTCGTCGTCGCTCGCGAGTACGCTGGAGAAGGTTCAAAAGGAGCGCGAAAAGGTCCGGCAAGAACTGACGGAACTCCGGCACGCGACTCGTCTCGAGGTCGAGTCGATCCAAGAGGAGCTCGTCCTTCGGCGCAACAAACAGTATGAGCTCACGCTCAAACTTCAAGTCGTCGCAACAGTATATTTCGTCCATTTGATGAACAAGTGGCGGTGTAGGAACGCGAATCTGAAGTGCACGAACTTCGGCACGCTGTCGAGACCACACGCGAGACGCTTGACGCCACGAGCGCGCGTATGCTCCACGTCGAACGCTTGTACAACGACGCGCAGCGGTGGAAAGAAGACACGAAAGGCGTGCTGGACCGCGTCCAGACGGCGTACGACGCACTTCAATTGAAGCATACGGCCGACACGACCGAGCTCGCACAGCACCAAAGTGCACTGGAAGCACAAGTGCGCGAACTTCAGAGCTACATTGAAAAACTTCACAAGGACGCCCAAGATGCCGTTGCGGCCAAGAAGGCGCATGCCCACGAGCTCGAGAGCGCAACAGCCGAAAAGCACCAGCTGCTCGATCGTATCCACCGCCTCGTGGCCGAAACGAACCGCGAGACCAAGCTGCGCGTGAGCACCGAAATGGATTACAAGGTTCGCGCACGCCACGTTCACTTTGCACTTGAAATCACCTGAACGTGCAAGGTCCTGCAAGAACAACTCAACCGAATGCAGCACGAGTCCTCAACAGTGCTGCAAAGCTGCCATCGTGACCATATGACGCTTGTCGAGAAGGTGCAGCATCTCGAGACGCAGCTGGAACAACTTCGCAGCGAGTGCTTGCTCGAACAAAAAGGTAGTTTGCGTCACTTCTCTTGCTCCATCGTCCAACATACTATGTAGGGAAAAGCAAGCTCTTGTACCTTGCGTACGTGGCACCGTCCAGCAGTGGAATCAACTTGAGCGACTGCTGGGTCTCGGATGCCGAGCTGCCGTACATCGCTGCCTACGCCAGCCGCACGGCCACCGAGAAAGGCACTGCGATTGGCACCATTGACTTGCGCGGCAACCGCGTGACAGACGCCGGGGTGCCATCGCTCGTGGCGCTTCTAAAAGCCCAAGGCATAGCCAAGGTGCTTCTCCAAGACAACTACATTTCGCCCCAGGGCTTGCGCTCGCTTGCAGCTGGCATCCAAGATCTCGGTTACAGCGTCGTTGTGTCGGACCGGGGCCTCATCGAAGGGTCGCTGCCCGAGGCGAGCACGACACTACTCGTCGATGTAAGCAACAACACCAAGGATGCAGGCGCGCTCGTACACCACCCGCAAGTCCCAGGGCTGCCCACGATGAGCAAAGTGAAATCCAAAAAGAGCAGCAAACCAACGATACGAGGTACTACTATTGCATCCTTATCCAGCCCCTAACGAATACTGGCGCGATAGATCCGCTCGAGAATATTTACGGCGTCGACCTTGTGCAATCCCTCATGGAGCGACGTAAGGAATCCTCCAAAGGCAGCAGCAGCCCTCGGCACTTGTCCCCCCGGGCGTCATCGCTCCCAAAGCTCTAGTACACGAGTCGAGTAGTCGGTTCATATATCGCTGTGTCGTTGTGAAAAGTGACCTTGATTGGACAAGGATCTATACGCATTACTGTATGTGGACCTCGCTCTTGACATATGTTTCTCACGCTGGCATGTCCAAGCGCCACGTCATACCCTTCCATAGTTATTTTAAAGTGAACGTCTCAAGTCTGCCTTCTTGACAGACAGCCATGGTCAAACAGTCAACGAATGGGCAGAATTCCGCACCACGCTGATTGGACGGTTGCGTTGGTATCGACGCTTGGATATACGACACTGTTACCTTCTATTGATGAAGTTTTGGTTCCATTTTAGCGCTTGTAGACATATACCAGCCACTGCGCGGGCTGCTAAAGGATACGACGGGCGATTTCCAGCACACGAAGGAGGTTCACGCAGCAGTAGTCGTTCATGTTCGCTGGCAACGCCTCGCCTGGAGGAATCGCAAGCAGCACGCGCGTGTCGAAGCGGAGGGTCGGGCGACTTTGCATCGGCGATGTTGTCCAGCGTCATGGACCCGCGTCGGGACAGCGCCGGCAGGTTGCCCACCTGTGCGATCTCGTACAGACGGTACTGCAGCTTTGTCGCAGTCGTGTTGACTTTCATCAAAAGCACGTACTTCATGCCGACGTAGTGGGACCACCAGTTGCCCGCGACTTCGAGCCCATTCCACGTCTCATAGTGGCCGACCTCGACGGCCAGCGTCACCCAGTCCCCGACGTCAAGCAACACGCGCTGTGGTCCTTCATCGACCGGCGGCGGCTCGACTCGGTTGGGCGGTTGGCGCAATGGACCAAAGGTGGCGTCGGCCTGCTTCTTCTTGATGCCTCGGCCTCGTGAAGCCGTGAACGAACCGCGCGTTGCCACCTCATCGCCGTCGCCTGTAGCTCGGAGGAACGCGCTCTTGAATCTGTCGATGAACGCCTCGTGCACCTTCGATGGAAAGTCCGTAATGATGATGCCGCCGTCGACGAGGTCCACAAAGCGCAGCGCGAAAGGAGCGTCTTCGTCGTCCTCAAAGTAGGCGTTGAAGAGGTCGACCGAGACATTAGAGATGACGATGAACGGCTCGCTGGAGGTCGTCCAGTGGTGTCGAAGATGCTCAAAGGAGATGGCCTCAAAGGCCCGCTTGATCGAGTCGAGCGTGACGGGCAGCGACGACGGGCGGACGTCACGCTGCATCGTCGTGACCTCGGCCTTGAAGCCGGCGAGCGTACGTGGGCGGACGCGATTTGTTCTGGCTTGTAACGGGCACCGTCGCAACAGCTGGCTTCTCGGAGCGACAGGACGCGAGACGGGGCATGGCATCGAGAGGATGGACGGCTGCCGACATGGCTCGTCTGTCGGCTGCAAGGCAAATTCTCAACTATAACGAGCTTCCAAAGGTTAAAAGAAACCAAAGCATTAAAAGACACGCGACGCCAAATAAAAGAACGTCTTCAATTATGTTGAAGTGGGAGGGTTTGACAGGACTGTCATTCCGCGTATCTTTGCCGTTTCCGCATCGTTGATTGGCTTCAAAGCGATCATAAGCAAAGATAGGTTGAGTGATTCGCGCTGTCCTCGCCCATGGGCGCCTACGCCTTCATTTCGGCGTCGTGTTCGTGTAGCCAACTGTCAACTCTATCCTAGAGCATATTTTAAGGTTGCAACGCAGTGGGAGCCTCGCAGCAAATGTGCATTAGTGCGATTTGTCTGGTTCGACACTAGTCTATCGAAAGCTCTAGTTCTTGCGCGTCCAGATGTACCAGGCATACTGCTGGAGCTCCATGTGCACGAGGTACGCAAGAAAAGCCACGTAGCCCGTACCCGCCGAGAAGAACGCGAGAAGGGACGCTGGGCCCATCTCGCTCACATCAACCTTTTGCACGACGAGGTAGAGGTTGACGAGACAGACGAGGAGCGCGACGGCCCAGCCCGCGGCTTTGGTCGTTGTCGAGTTGACGAAGGCGCCCATTAAACCCACGTGGCTCGTGAAATGCAAGATGGGCAGCAGTGCAAACGGCAGCTGGATCGACTGCAGCACGTTGAGCATCTCGCCAATCGTATCACTGGCCCTGTATCAGCACGAGTCTCAGATTATCAAGTTGATACAAACAGTGAAGCGTACCCCGGTTGCGTGTCGGACCAGATCGCAACAGCGAGGGCCGGCACGAGCGCCACCGCGCGCGTCAGCGCCACACGCTTCCACGGCGCCAACTGGATCCGGAGAAAACCTAATGTAACATATTGTCCTTAAAACGGTGGACAAGGTGACATTGGCGTACCTTCCATGACAAACTGACCCGCGTACGTGCCGGCCATGGTCGAGCTCTGGCCGGCAGCGAGGAGGCCAATCGCCCAGATCGTCTCCGAGTACTCGTCGAGAACACCGCGGAGGGCGAGGCCAGCGCCCGAGAGCCCAATTTCTTGGCACACGCCCTATTTCACGTTGCGGGTTCAATTCCCCATCTCGCAGGATAATATCATTTGTGTACCATGGCCCGCGAGCCTTCCATGAGCTGGCACGACCCGTACGATTCGGTCGTCGACGTGTTGAGCGGAACACACGCCGTGTTGACGCCGTGTGTCTCGAACGACTGGAGACAGTCGGGCGAGAAGAAGCCTTTGGCAAACACGCACATGACCTAGTCCAAGATAAGACAGGTTGTACACACAGCAATATTGCCATGTACCGCGAGGTTGATCAGAAACGACACGAACAGTGCGACCGCCGACTCGATCGTAAAGTATTTGTTGGCTTCGCGGACCTTGCGGGCGTTGGTTCGATCCACAGCGCGCGACTGGACGAGACCCGAGTGCAGATAAAAGTTGTGGGGCATGATGACGGCGCCGAGGATACCAACTGCCTGCGTCGTGGCATAGCGCGACGGCGGCCGCGGCAGAAAGCCGTCGAGAACCGGGATCGGATCCACGCCGCCTTGGGCGAGGTTCATGCAAAAGCACGCGAGCATGACGGCAATGAGTGCGACGAAGAACGCTTCGAGCTTGCGGATGCCAAACTGATGCAGCGAGAGAAAGGTCAGTCTACGATCCAAGTTGTCCATCTGCCAAAGAGAAACAAGAGACTGCGTACGTGTCAACGCCCGTGATGAGGCAACCGACCCAGAGCGGCAGTTGAAAGAGCAGCTGGAGCGCGATCGCGGATCCGAGGACCTCTTGGATGTCACTGCCGACGATCGCAATCTCTGTCATGACCCAGAGAATGTACGACGCCCAGCGCGGGTACATGGCGTAGCAAACCTCGGCGAGGTTCTTGCCCGTGACGACGCCGAGGCGCGCGGACAGCGTCTGGAGGAAGAAGCCCATGACGGTCGCGCCAAAGAGCACCCAGATGAGCTCGTAGCCGCCATATGCGCCGGCTTGCAGATCCGACTCGAGGTTGCCAGGGTCCACGTACGCAATGCTCATGAGCCAGCCTGGACCGGCGTACGCCCAGAGCGTGCGCCAGCTAAAGGGCAGGCGCAGGCCACAGCAGGTCGACGTCGTCTCTTCCTCGTCGGGCGCTTCAACCTCGGGTCGCGTGAGGCTCTCGACCTCGGCCCACTCGACGAGGCTCACGTGCGAGCCGTGCGCCTTGGGCTGCGTCAGCAGCGGGGACACCTCGGTGGCCATCTTGTAATCGTCGCCAGGATTGCGCTCTGGACGTGCCAGAGCGTCCAGGTGGCATACCGACATCTGATTGGACAACTGTATCAACATTTTAGCCAATCATATTGTGGCTCGTACGTGCGGAGGCGCCAACTTGAATGTTGGACAATCTGTCAATTGGGCCGGGTATCATTACCAGAAACGACTTTGTGCATGCGATATAGTTGTGCAACGGCTTGGACACGGCGCTCGGATAGCACTGACCGACGCCGTATCGCTGACGGCGGCTGGCAATGTCGGACCGAGGCGCACCTGGGTGCACCTTGTACCTAGTATCTGGGGTCCATAAACAGTTAATGGACCCTTGATACTGCTCATGGACCCTTGCTATTAGTTTTAATATCCGCGTACCTTCTTCGCAATAACGGTTCTTGACGGTGGACCACACACGATTGTTCGTCGCGAGTTGTCCACCTTTAAATATGAATTGTTACAGAATCATAGTGTCTACAAGAATATAACCTTGTGACAATATTTTCCACAACTGTGCGATTCGCGCAACCTCCAACATTAGCACCCGACGACCACAGTGGCGCTTTGAGTCGAGTGCTCTGGATGCTGTCGATTCCGCATCGTTTCGGGGCAGACCAATTCGTTCGACGCGTCGCTCCAACATGACATTGTAGTACGAGGGGAGGCGGGTGTTCATAATGTCTTCATATTGATATTCGTAGTTGATACTTACGACGCCGTGCCCGCGTCCTTTTGAAGCGGATTCAGCACGACGACGACGACCGTCACATTGTCCATCGAGCCCGATCGAATCGCGAGCTCGGCGAGGTGGTAGCTAATGTCCTCCATGCTCCACTCGGCGCGCAGCTTGGCGCGTACAATGTCAACTGCCTCCTGGCTCGTGATCGTGTCCCAGAGCCCGTCGCAGGCGAGCACGACAAACTCGACCTCGGGCGTGATCTCGACCTCCTACACACATATATCGTTGGTACAAAGAGCCGCAGCTTGCTCCAAACCTGAAATTCCGGGTCGGGGATCAAGAGCGGGCCCGAAAACGTGCGGGGATGCAGCTCCGGGTACTGCCAGTGCGTGTAGTTGTTGGGCCGCTTGTACTCAATGTCGCCGATCGCTCGCGAGACCGAGAGGTCGCCGTTGACCTATGCATTGCACGATCAGACCACGGGATCGCGTATTGATACATCGATACAAACCCGAAAGATCTCGATGAGCTTGACGACGCGCTTGGCCTTTTCTTGAATGTACGGGTCCTTGAGGTCCATTTGATGCAGCTTGGACATGTGCAGCTCCTTGTCCACATGCACCCAGCCGCCCGCAGCGGCGATGCGCTCCATTTCGTCCGGCCGACCCGGCGTCTGGATGTCCATAATGTCCAGTGCCTGCCCGCTGATCGAGATGACCGCCTTCGAGTCGCCGGCGTTGGCCGTCAAGAGCTTGTGTCCCCGGACAATCTACCAAGGCGTGCACTAAGCAAGGATTGAAACCCAACGTGGTCATCGTACCACAAGACTGGCCGTCGTGCCCGCCGTCGGCTTGGCCGACACGAGAAACTCGTCGTCGAGGCGCGCAAACACGTCACGGCACGCGCGGCGCCAATCGGCCGCGAGCTGCGGGTGCGCGTGCAAGTAGAGCGGGAGCTTGTCTTTTGTATAGAGCGCGGCCTGCACAACGCCCATTACCACGCCATGTTATAGACCAAGAGGACGCCTACCGCGTCGCCGTCATGGCCGTCAAAGAGACCATACAGCGCCGCACCGGGCGCAAACGTCGGGAGGCAGCAAATCACATCTTCGAGCTTCGAGCGCTTCCCGAGAAGTGACGTGGCACCGTACACCGCCGTACCTTCCTTGCTGCTCGTGCCACGGAGCTCGCGGTAGTCGATGGGGCCGTTCGGCGGCGACGGCTCGGGCATCGCAATCGCCGGCTCCGGATTGTTGTACCCGTGTCGCAAGTGCGGCGGAATGTACTTCTTCTTCGGCGCGGTCGGCGGCGATATGCACCGCGCGAGCTCCGGCACCGGATCGCTCGTCGACGTCGCGACGATTGCAATGCTGGCCGACGACGAAAACGACGCGATCGGGACCGGCGTTGGCGGCGGCGGCGGCGTGTAGAAAGAGGATGACGGCGGCGACGCATAGTGTCGGTGATGGTCGTCGAGCTCGTCGGCGGTCGCGTCAATGTCGAGGTCTTCGAGCGGAAAGAGGGTACTGCCGAGCGGGCTGCGCACTTGGCTGCTCGACGAGTTTGAGTCGCTCGAGTAGCGCAGCAGGCTGTTCGTGCTCGTGAGTTGCTGCAACGTGAGGGTCGCGTCAAAGCGCGACATTTCCCGAAAGTCAAACGACTGACTGCGGTGCTGGCGGCGTGCGACGTCGACGTGGCGCGTAAAGCTCGAGCTCAGTCGCGGGCGGCCATCTCGCTACACACGTCGCTCGTATCCTGTCTCGTCCTAGCAGGATATACATACGCGGTAACGTAGGATCTCGGATATAAGGTTCGCGATGCAGCACTGAAACTTGAAGAGCCAGTCGTTCATCTAATCAATCATGCTATAAGCTCCTCGACAACGATCGTCGCGCGGTGGATAGACACACGGCGGTGCGACAAAGACGTGGCACGTACATGGTCCTTCGAGTCGGCGCGGAAGACATACGTTCGGTGCTCTTCGTGCAGTTTGATTTGGAAGGCCGCGGCGCCATACTCTTTGGCGGTCCCAATCGACGCGACCGAGTCGAGCGGAATGCTCTTCTCGTCGTACGACGGCGGCGACGGCGTGCTCGGCACATCGTCTTCGCTCTTGTAGATCATGACCACGTTGCCGTCGAGCACGACCCAGCGCGGCTTCCACACCGACTTGTCCTTGACGCTCTGCTTCTCGAGGTACCCGCGCTTGCACGCCAGCAGCGAGTACTGGTCCCACTGCCATGGCCGCGGCGCCACGTAGCTCGAGCTCAAGCCGGCCCCTAGAAGCGCCGAGCATGCGCATGAGGCCATGGGCCTCGCCTTCGCCGGCGACCTACATGCATCGGTCCCTTCCGTCGTCTCCGAGTCGTGCCAGTCCATGCGCCCGCGTTGATAATTCCGTCGCCTGGGTTACCGTTACAATGCCGCTGCCACAAACCCTCCCAGAAACACGCTGCGCCGGATACGGGTATCCGGATGGCCCAGTCCCATGTTGCCGGCCACACGCCGACTGCGGACCGTCGGCCCATGGAATGCAGCGATGGCCTGCCTACCTCTCTCTACGCGTGGTGGCATTCGATAGCGCCGGGTACACTCCATGGGCACGCCGGGCCTCGAAGTGCTAGGCTCAAGCTACACCTTGTTCTCGCCGGCGGCGAATTGAAAGGTCATGACCATGACTGGGTACGACGGCCATGCGCCACCCAACGGCAGCACGCCGCCTGTACAATGGTCGATATGGGCACAGCGGTGGTGGAGCTGCCTCCTTGTGTGGTGGGCTTTGGATATGCAGGCGACCGAGAGAGCGGGAAAGAGAGTGCTTTGACACGCCAGACGACTGCCAACGCTAGAGGCGTTGCGCGTTGTCGGTGGAAAACTGCAGCGAAAACCGTCACGACCGAACAATATAATCGCTCTCGTCTGGCATGCACGCTCGCCGGTCGTCCGTGACGGCGACACCGACGGCGCCGCTCGCCGAGACGACGGCGACCCCGGCGCCCAAGTCGGTGTCGCCGCCCAAATTCCGGTCCCTTTGCTTACTTTCATTGCACCGCGCTCATGGTCATGGTGGCATTAGCATGCCTTTTATCAAGGCGCAGATCCAGGCAAGCCCGAGCATCCTCCGCGCCTTCAACCGCAAGATGAAGCCGCGCCCCACGATGGGCCACGTCACATTTGACGAGTCGAAAACGGGCCCCGACGAGTCGCTGGTGCAGCGCAAATCGAGCCTCCCGACAGCGTCCTCGCCCTCGCCCACTTCGCCCTCGACGTACTATACGTCGCCCTCTCCATGTCCATGCACTTCATTTGTGTTTTTAGGTTTTACTGCGCCGCGTGCGATAAGAGCTTTCCGAACCGTGTGCTCTTTGACCGGCACCACGCCTTCTCGTTCATGCATGAGCTCAACGTCAAGCAGGCGGCCGCGCTGGCCGAGCTCGCGTCGCAGCCGTCGCCCAAGACGATGCATCTCTCGCACCTTGCGCCCAAGTTTTTCTGGCGGCTCCGCGCGGAAGCCCACGTCGTGATTGGGGAAAATGCGAACGGGGACATTGGCGTGTGGATCTACCAGTCGCCGACAGCGCCGTCGCTCGAGGTCGTGCTGCTGCCGCGCTTGCACACGCTCGCATCGCTCGAGGGGCCGGCGCTCTACGCCAAGATCGTCCACCTCGTCGAAGTCGGGTACGAAGCTCTGCAAAGTGCCAGTATCGAGAATGACGGGCATAGCTTTCGGGATGTGCGGACGCAAACGCTTGGCCTCGTCTTCCCGTTCGAGTACACCAGCCACGTGGCCCGGCAGTCGGTCCTAGGCGGCACGGAATTTGCCAAGCAGTTTGCTTGCTTCTCGTCGGACGTCGTCGAGGCGCGTCTCGCTGCGTGCACGGTGGCGCCAACGCTCCAAGGGTTTGAGCACGAGCATGGCAAGCTCCGAGAAGACGCTGAGCTTCTGAAAGCGAGCGTGCAGTCGGCCGAGATCGAGCAAACCAAGACATCGGCGATTCTAGCCCACGTATGTCTATAGGAAGCGACACCTCACCTACTCGGCACGTAGCTCGCCGCCAAGGTTGTGGTCACGGACAGTAGTAGCAAGGACGAGCCGGAGCCGCCGCCGATGCAGCCGCAACCGCCGACGACACCGCCTTTGAACATCTCCCCGCGCCAAGCCAAACGCCTTAGCAACCTCGTGCTGCCGCCATTGGAAGGTCGACCACCCTTGGCGTAGTGCTCGGCTCCCATAACACACTTTGCATATCCCATCGACACTTTATGATGCTGCGTCGTCTTACTCGGACGCTACGTGCCCAGATGGTGCGAAAATGGAAACGTGATAGCCAGCGGTATGTGCCACGGGTGCCGCGAGACCTCGAGGTCCGTCGCTCCCTGCGACGGCGTCCACGGCTGGTCGTCCACCAAGACTTGCCCAAAGCCGAGCCGCGACGACACGTGCAGCGACAGTATGCCGTGCACAATGCGCTGGTCGCCGGTGACGAGCGTCGCCGTCACATCCACAAGCGGGCTCGCACCGTGGGTCCACGACGGTCCGTCGTTCGCTTGCCTCGCTGATGTGTGTACAATGCTCACGTGGGTTGCCTTCTATAAGAACCACCCCGTTTTTCGACACTGGAAATGACGAAGCGCGTACCAGCAGCAGCGCCTTGGCGTCGAGCAGCAGCCGCAGCATCAAGTGACCGCACGACGGCGACACGCTGCAGGCAAAGCAAAAGGGTGCTACCTGCCCGAGCACGCGGCACTCAAAGACAGCGAGTCGCACTACGTCATTTGCAACGTGCAGAAAAAACTGCACGAGCGACTGCTCGATCGACGTGAAAAAGGCGGTTGGCGACAACAACGTTGTGGACGCAGTAGCGCTTAGCAGTGGGCCGTACAGATACCGCAAGTACCACATGTCGATGGACGCCACGTAGCGCGCAAGGGTCGACGGCGCGGATGATGGCAGCACCACGACACGGGTCGGGTACGACGAGTGCAGCACGACACCGGTGAGCCATTCGTGGAAGAACGCGTCGTCGCCCATAAAGACAACCGAGCCGTCGCTCCCACCGGGCGCCGGCCGGGCGGCGCGCCAACGACTCGCTTCGTGGACGGGCGATGTCACCACGGGCGTCATCCTCAGCGGGCTGAGTGCAAACGATGGAAACCTCATGGCGGGAAAGGCTGCGTACGTCGTATCGATCGTCGCGGGCGGGAACGGGTGCGGCGTCTACGTCCATGTGATCACGGTGCCTCGATCGATCGAGTCGTCGTACTACTATGTCGGGGGTACAAGCCTCGTTGCCGTAACAAAGGCATCGCAGCAAGCGGATGGGAACCGCGGCCGCCTCGAGCACGGACGCCAAGAGAGATAGCCGCACGATCGTCGACACTGGTGGCGTCGTCGCGAGCTGCGCAAGGACCTCGGTGACCAGCGACGGGCGCTGGCATAAGAAGGCGACCACGCGAGTCTCGTCGGCAAGGTCAAAGTCGCCGTGCAGATGCGACATGAGCCGCGCCACGTCGAGAGGCAGCGAGCCATCGCGTGGTGTGTCCCGTCGCCGCATGAGCTATTACCATCCCCATCGAGGTGTTACTATCTTTTGCACTCGATCCGAGACGAGGACGTACGCTTTGCAGTTTGCCGTGCAGGTTTATGGTCGTGATGTGGTAGACATCTTCGAGAGGCCGCACTTGCCACAACGGTGCGTCGACCGCCGTGGTGATAACAACCACACTAATACAATGCGCATCGTAGTAAGTAACACGCAAGGAAGGCCACCACGTACTGAGGGGTCATCGCAAGCCGGCGTCGGGACGCCTCTCCGGGACGCACGAGCTCGGTCTCGATGAGGGCTTCGAGGCGACGTTTGGTGGTAAAGCTCACGGGACACACAATGGTCTGCAGCGTGTGGCGCAGCTGGTTCAAAAATCGCGGTTCCGCGTCGGCGCCAACGTCAGCGCCTCGGTCAAGAGAATCGTGAGCGCCACAAACTCGAGAGACGGAACGGAGAGAGATCGCAGGAGACTTAGCATCGCGTCCATGATCGCATCGACATCGATGCGGCACAGCAGGTGGTGGCGGACCTGCAGCAGCGTGTACGGAGACAGTCCCTTGCTCTCTGGTGTCGCGGCGAACGTCAAGCCTGTGGTGGACGACGAGAATGTCGAGCTCGTTAGCGCCGTGTTGGTTCGGTTGCGCCGGGCAAAGAGCATCGACTTGGATTTGCGCATCGTTGTTGGCTCCGTTTCCACCGGAAGGACCCCGTACGCCCCGGGCACATACGCCTCGCATGCCAGCGGAAGGCGGAGGCCGTCGAGCAAGATCGCCCGCCACTTGTTTGTCGGGCCGAAGCTCCATGGCACGAGCGGCAACACAAGGGCAAAGTCGAGATGCAATGGCGCGACGTCCAGCGGAAAGAAGAAAACGTCCATGAGATGCACCGTGTTGGCGACACGCTGCGCCAAGGCCGCGTCGGCTTTGGCGTGCACGAGTAGCTCGAGGCACGCGTGCAGGAACGAGAGCCGCCACGCGGCGTCGTGCTGCAGAAGCGTCCAGACCAGCGCGGCGTCGTCCGGCGTCATGCACGGGCTTGGCGTCAGGAGTGCAGGGACGAGCCCGAGTGGCTTCGGCTTGAGCTTCTTGGCGACGAACGCGGTGAGCGACGAGGGCCATGGCCGCCACTTGCCCATGGTGCTACTGGCTGCCTGGCGTTTCAAGTTGCTTCGATCGAACGTCGTTCTCAATTTTCGCACCCGATCGCATGCTGCTTCGACGTTTTGTCCTCCTGCCGCGAGTTCGTACGCTCATATACGTGGCAATCCCAGGGCAGCGACGCTGCAAGCAAGCATTTATGACAAGAACCAGCGGCTCTTAAAATCGACCACTCCAAGAGCTATAGGAGGCTGTACGTGGCTGTCGCCGTAGGTTGCGATGAAGCGATCGTCCTTGACTCGAAGTCGATAAAGCCATTTGCGCCGAGCTTGAGCTTGGCGCGGATCAACTCGAGATCACAGACAGATTTCGAAGCACCGTAACCAGGCACCCAACGTACGAGTGCCAAAAACAAGGTGGTGGCACGCATTCAGAGACAGCCCTCCAAAGACGTCGTTGCGACGGCAGACTGTACGACATCGAACGTTGCAAGGCGCTGCTCGACGACGCACAGCGCCATGCTGCATTGCAGAAGAACGACCGGGTGCGAGCAAGACGAAGCACTCGTCTCGCCTTCTATCCTGGAATCATGGCAGCTCTCACAGCCTCGGTCGTACCACCATACAACCGGTAACATAAGTCGGCCGCATGTGGTCTCGCAGGTGCTGCTACGGTACGGCACCGCGTCAATCACACGCCTATCACACGATGAAACGATACCAGACGCTCATGGAAGGCGATCCGCAAAGTGCAATGTGCACTTTGCCCCCGACGCTATTCTTAATACCAGGCACACCTACGTACTGCTACAAATATTGTATAAGTCCTGCAACTATTGCAGTGAAATGCACCTGTGCCGACGTGTACGTGCCGGATGCTGCATCTTGGTTTGCACGGTAATGTGGTACCGGTAGCGCAGGATGCACTTTAGGGCACCAACGGACGGTAAAGGCGTCGAGCACGTCTTTTCTCCGATATGGCTCATTTTGGCATTTTTGTCTCAATAGTATCTCAACAGCCACTGGAACCTCGAGCAATGTGAGACAAGCTTGGGTGGGCGCGTGGTCTGGGGCGTGCGTCACGGTCAGCCGGCGACGCTTCCTGTGGCGTAATGGCGCCACTTGGCGCGCCATCGCACTCAATTACTGTATTTTACACAAAGAATTGAATCAGATATTAGATGGCCCACCTGGATGCCTGGATGGTACCGTGTAGGCACGGCGTCAACAAGAACGCGCCCAACAGGTGTCGATGGATGATGGCCTTTCTTCAAGCTTGCCGTACGCTACAGTACCTCACTTGGGCTTTTGCATCAATTGACGATGGCGCGGATGGCTGGCGCGAGTGTAGCCGCGATCTCGCACCGCCTCGACGCGCTCCCGACGACCCGCGGCTGCGGCGGCATCTCGCCCTACTACCTCAAGCTGCTGCACTCGGCCGGCGTCGGCTGGGCCATGGACGCGATGGACACGTTTCTCTTCACGTACTGCCTCACGCTCATCGAGTCGGAGTTTGCGACCGAGTACAACCGCGTCTTCACGTCGTCCGAGCGCGGCATCCTCTCGTCGTCCGTCTTTGCAGGCTCGCTCGTCGGGTCGTTCCTCTTTGGGCACATGGCCGACATGTACGGCCGCAAGCCCATGTTCACGTGGACCATGATCACGTTCGCGTTTGGCAACATCATGTGCGCGATGGCTGACAGCTACGGCATGCTGCTCACGTTCCGCTTCATCGCTGGCGTTGGCCTCGGCGGCGAACTCCCCGTCGCCACGACGCTCGTCCAAGAGCTCTCGCCCAAGGCGACGCGCGGGCGGATCATTGTCATCCTCGACGCCTTCTGGCCCATTGGCTGCATCCTCGCGATCGTTCTCGCGCGCGAAGTCACCAAGGAAGTGTCGTGGCGCTGGGTCTTTGCCCTCTCGACGCTGCCCGTCTTGTATGCGCTCACGGCCCGCATGTTTGTGCCCGAGTCGCCCAAGTGGCTCGCGAGCGTCGGCCGGTCCAACCAAGCCGAAGCCATTTTGCGTGCGATCGAGGCCGACCACGGGATCTACCACGTCTCTGCCTCCACCAACAACACCACCACCAACACGACCGACTCCAAGATCGCTGACGAGATTGCCGCCGATGTCTTTCGCTACCGCCGGCTCTCGACGCGGCAGCGGGTCGCGCTCCTCTTCCGCGGCGTCTACCTCAAGCGCTCCATGGTGCTCCATGTCATCTGGCTCGGCCTCTCGTTTGCCTACTTCTCCATCTACACGTGGCTGCCGACGATCATCGCGCAAAAGTCCAACGCGTTCGACTTGAACGGGTCCACGTGGACGCTCTTGGCGATGGTCGCGTGCCAAGTGCCCGGGTACATTGCGGCTGCGTACGCGGTCGAGGTCATCGGCCGCAAGCTCACGCTGGCTGCGTTCCTCCTCGGGTCGTTCGCGTCGGCGATTGTGTTTGGCTACGTGGCGCCGACAGCGGCCAACCTCCTCGTCACCGGCGGCCTTCTCTCGTTCTTTATGCTCGGCGCATGGGGCGCGCTGTATGCGTATACGCCGGAGAACTACCCAACCAATATCCGCGCCATGGGCGCCGCGTACCCCGCGGGCATCTCGCGCATCGGTGCGATTGGCGGCGCGTACGTCCTCCCGATCCTCTCGGACCACGGGTGGTCGCCGGTCGCGATCATGTGGCTCAACGGTGGCGTCCTCGTCGGCACGGCCGTTGTGCTCATTGTGTTTGGGTACGAGACGCGTGGCATGAACATCGACGACGTCTCGGGCTTTGATAATGTCGCGCAAGAGTACATCACCGAGCTCCGAGACGACAGCTTTGACGAGGCCCACATCCTCGCCTAAGACCGACGAGTGTATTACTTCTTAAATTAAACTACGCTACGAAATGATGACTCACCGCGTCGGGGAGGAACCTCCACCGACACACTATACGTGTCGCCGAGGCAGCATGGAGGCAGCCCACCCCGCAATGCAGCCGAGCCAAGAGGGTACCACGACAGAACCTCGTGCACACTGAGCAACCGCAGCACGGACGTTCAAGGTCGAGAGCTACCTCTACTCTCGTGTAAACGTAAGCAATTTATACATGGACGTGTTTCGTGTTATCTTCTGCATCGACTGTAGCAACGTTGAGGCTAACCTTAGCAAGATGTATTCTTCTTCTCGCGTTCACCGCGTCGCGCCTATGAAGCGGTGCGGCGGCTACAGTAGGTCATCTGTGGTCGCCACCCCTGAGTGAGGCCCATGACGACACGCTCCGTCCAGCCCTGTAAGCGTCGTGCTCTGGAGCAAAGCTACGCAGTTGATCGAGGTCCTCGAAAGACGCCGGCGATGGAGGCTCGGCCTATCTTTCATCACGTAGCTACTGCATCAAATCGTCTCTAGTATTTTCTTATGGCGTTCTTATGACATTTGTCTCGTGCGTGTGCTCACAAGAAGGCCTCGGCGTCGTCCTGAAGCGAGAGAAGGTCCTTGTCGTGCGGATCCAGCTGCAGTCCGTCGTCGCAAATGTCCATGACCGCGTCGTAGTCGTGGTCGAGGAGCGCGGCTTTGGCCCAGAGCCGGTAGAACGCAATGTTGTTGCTCGTTAACTCGACCGCGTCCTCCATATCGGCACACACGTCGCCGTAGAGACCAAGGTGGAAGCCGGCGAGCGCACGCTTCCAGTACAAGAGACCGCGCTCGACGGCATTTATGGGCGCAATGCGGAGCACATCGTTGCGGAGCTCGGTCCAGTCGAGCGCGCGGCTGTAAAACTCGATCGCTTTGGCGTACAGCTGGTGCGTGTACATGTCGTCGCCTTCGCGCCGAAGATGCGCGAGCTCGGCGTCGAGGAGGTGGTGCCACGGCCCACTCAGCGGTACGACGCTTGTGCCGCGCTCGAGCCACGCGAGCACGATCCGGGCAAAGTCGACAAACACGGACGGCTCGTCGTCCATGTCGAGCACTTCGCGCAGGTCCGCGATCGCTGCGGCCACGTCGCGTGCGTCCAGTGCGTCCCACGCACTGCGAAAGTAGGTTTCAGCCACGTCCATGAACTCGTTCTCTTCGTCGTCCCCGTCCGCATCGCCGTCTAAAGCACAAGCCGCACCCGGCGTCCCCTCGTCGGCGGCGTCTTCGGGCTCGTCGTCGTCAAATGGCTCGTTGTGCAAGACGGCATCCGCGGCGGCGGCCGTGTTGATGGGCGTTCCAATCCCAAGCCGCAGAACCTGCGCGTACTTGGCGCCGGCGCCCGGAAGACCGCGGTCGTACGCGGCCTTGAAATGCGACGCGACGACGGACCAATGGGCCTGGGTACCGTCGTCCGATGGCTTGAAGCTGTCGAGCAAAACGTGGCAGAAGCGGTGCGTGCGTGCTTCGAGCGAGAGCTCATGGTCGCCGCCATGCTCGGCCTCGTACGCGAGCATCTTGTCGCCAAACGCCAGCATCGCGCGGATCTCGTGAGCCGGTCGCCCGGCCTTTTCCAGCCACAGCGTCGCCTTCGCCGCGTCCCGACGGTAGCCGCGGTGGCCGGACGCAAACTTGCGCCCGAGTTCGAGCTGCGCCGATTGGACGCCGGCGATGGCCACTTGCGTCTGCCACTCCATCTCTTCTAAGACGTGGACGCAGTGCTTGGAGCGGCTCAGAAGCACGCTGTCGTTCGGGTCAAGCGCGAGTCCCTTCTCGCACTCGACCAGCGCATCGTGGTACCAATGCAAGCCCACGAGCGCTTCGGAGAGAATCCGGTAGAGCTTGACGCTGCCACTGGACGAGAGCGCGAGGGCGTCGTTCGCGTCTTGGCGCGCGAGGTCGAATTTCTTGAGCTGGAGTTCGCAGAGCGCGCGGTTCGAGTAGAGCGTCGGCTCTTTCGGCGAGTACCAGAGCGCAGTCGTGTAGTGGGCCATCGCAGCGTCAAACTCGCGGCGCGTGTAGCAGCCGTTGCCGTCGTCCTTGCACTGTTGCCAGCTGACCTTGCTCTTCTTCTTGCTGTTCTTTGTGATTGCCTTGTACACAAAAGGCTTGGCGAACACGCGGTCTCGTAGCGCGAGCGCAATGTACGGCGCGTCGAGGAAGCGCGCCATGTGCCCGAACGACTCGATCGCGTGGTCGTACGCGTCGCGGTCAAAGGCGCCGGCGTGCGACCGCCGAATGTAGGCGCGCGCGCGGGCAATGTGCTCTTGGATCCAAATGCTCTCGGCCGTCGCCTCGGGAAAGCACGTGCTCCACGCCCGCTGGAGGTGCGCAATCGCATCGTCGAGGTCCAGCAGCTCGCACGGCTCGTCGCTGTGCTCGTCAAGACGCCGCTTGATGCAGTGCGTTAGAAGCGAAGCGGCAAACGCAACGTTGGCGCGCGCGTCCGCCAGCGCGAGCTGCGCGACGATCGCGGCCTCGTCCGCGCCACTGCTCGCCATATCCCGTGAAACTCAATCGAATGACCTTTGGGAGGATCCGAAAAGTCTGCCAAAGATGATACTCAGGCGGTCGATCGGTCTAGTCCCAAGAAGAGGTCGACCTGTAGTTTATGTAGGACGATGGACTGCGTGCAGAGAGCGCTCGCAACGACGCCAGCAGGTGCAACGCGTCGCGCGAAAGGGCTGCGGTACCACTTTGCCCTAGCACGCCACTTGGGCGAGTGCTGGAGCGGACACAACACTGCACCGCATCGTAGGGCTACACGACAAGGCGACATCACCTTGACACACCATATGCATGCATTAGAACAGAGGATATGCATCGATCTCGCTCGACGTGACCATGAAGGAGCTGTCGCCTTCAAAATCAGAATGGACTGACAAGACTCGCCCACGCGGAGCTGCTTAGCCGCGAGAAGCACTGGACTGAGGCAGAGTAGTCGAAGCGACTTCTCGCACTCTGTTCACGACGCGCCATCATCATCCTAGTGTCGACGCCAACGGTTTTGAGGGCGAGCAGCGGCGGTGCGTCGGTCGCATCAAGTCAGAGAACCACATAACCGCAGCTGTCGCATCACCGAGTATTGATGACGAGTTGCAGCATAGCTTTGCCGCACCGCTGCAGGGATACCACGCGTACGACGACCCTCGTCCTGGCGCGAGAGTCCTCGTGCATGCGGCAGTGGAAGCGCTCGATAGTGGCCCAGGAATGCTACATCCAAGGGTTCAATAGGCTGCTTGTCTGCGCTTCGTTGTCGAGATGCCACGTCGGCGGCGCGCACGACGGCTATGGCCATCGCACGTCGCTCGGAATTCGCGATCTGCGGTGGGCCACGACTTCGGCGGATTTGGAGCCTTACATTTGATTGGCTACGAAACGGCAACTTGCAAGTGATTGGCCGCATCAGAATTCGATGCGCCAATCGCAGTGCACGCGGTGATTCCATCGAATCCAGATATCTGATTGGCCGTGGTCAGCCAATCCGCGGCGAGCCGCAATGGGTGATATCCGTGGCAGGATCCTTCAAGCAGCCAATCGACCTTTCTTCATGGCGCCCCCACAGCTCGCGACCGCGTAAGTCGCCCGTCATCTTAGCCACACAAGCACCTCACGGCGTTCTGCGTAGGCAATCGACGCCGCATGACCCCGTGTCCATGGGCGAGTACGTCATGTCGCCGACGCACCAGATCAGTCCCGAGTCGCTGCCACTCTTTGCGACAGCGCCGCCGTCGCCGCTTGCCATCAAGGACTACAAGGGCACGGGCACCGTGCTGGGCTCGGTCTTTACGCTCACCAACACGATCCTTGGCTCGGGCACGCTCGCAGTGCCGTTTGCGATCGCGTCGAGCGGGTGGCTCGCGGGCCTGCTCGTAATGGTAGTCATTGCGCTCATCACGCGCTACTCGGTGTCGCTCCTCATGCGTGCGAGCGACCTCGCCGGCGACTCGGCCGCCAAGACGTACGAGAGTCTCGGGCACCACACCATGGGCAAGTACGGCACGTACCTCGCCGAGTTTACCTTTATCTTTGGCGGCTTTGGCACGCTCACGTCCTACTTTATCTTCATCACCGACCTCCTCTGTGCCATCTTTGGCGTTGCGCATGCGAACCGGGGCTACGTCACGCTGCTCTTTACATTTGGCATCATTTTGCCGCTCTCGCTCAGCCGCCGCCTCGGGAAGCTGCGCATCTCGAGCATCCTCGCGACGTGCGCCGTCACATACGTCGTGTGCCTCTTCTTCGCCGTCTACGTCGTCGTGTCGTCGTCGGCGTCTTTTACGCCGGTGGCTGTGCCCGCGGTATGACCTACCGATGCCGCGCCTCCCAATACCACGGATATCTGATATGCACTCGACTAGGTGAACATTACATCGACGTCGGTCTACACGGTGACGCTGCTCATCCAGGCCTTTGCGTGCCACAACACGGCGCTGCCCGTGTACGAAGAGCTCCGCGACCGCAGCCTTGCCCGCATGAACCGCGCGGTCGTCGGCGCCATCTCGCTCTCGTTCCTGCTCTACACGGTGATTGGATTCTGCGGCGTCTTGACGTTTGGCGACAAG